TAATATATTACATTTCTGACTGTATATCCCTGTAATTATTACACACTGTAGCTTTAATACTAAGTGGGGTCACGAGGGGTGCTGGAACCTATCTCCAGCTGTCAATGAGCAAGAGGCGGGTTGGACAGTTTGCCAGTCCATCACAGGGCAACACAGAGACAAACAGAACAAACAACCATTCATGCACACATCCACATCCAATTTAGAGAATGCAATTAACCTAACAGTCATGTTTTTCTTTTTTTTGGACTGTGGGAGGAAGCTGGAGTACCCGGAGAGAACCCACACATGCTCAGGGAGAACATGCAAACTCCATGCAGAAAGACCCTGGGCTGAAAACTGAACTCAGAACCTTCTTACTGCAAGGCAGCAGTGCTAACCACTGCTCCACTGAGCAGCTCTCATGACTAATATACTATCCATCCATCCATCCATCCATTATCTGACACGCTTGTCCCAATAGAGGTCACTAGGGGTGCTGGTGCCTATCTCCAGCTGTCAATGGGCGAGAGGAGGGGTACACCCTGGACAGGTAGCCAGTCCATCGCAGGGCAACACAGAGACAAACAGGACAAACAACCATTCACTCAGTTTAGGGAAGCCAATTAACCTAACAGTCATGTTTTTGGACTGTGGGGGGAAGCCCTCATGTCTAATATACTAATCCATTATAATGTTTCTTTGATTTTTCATCATCTTTAAACCATAGGAATCAAAAATAAAAGGAACATTACATGTCTAATATACTATTCCATTCTAATGTTCCTTTTATTTTTGATTCTTATGGTTTATAGATGATGAAAAATCAAATCTTAGTTTTTCTGAAAAACCAAATATCAGGTGAAGCCAATAAAGGGGCTTTAGTGCAGAAATGCTTAGTATTTTTTTTTTTTTGCTGCTAAATCATAGGAAAGACTGCTGATTTTATGGTCATCCAGCAGACAGTCACTGATGCTCTAAGTAAAGAGTGCAGGGCACACACGGTCAATGCGGGGGATGCCAGCTGTGCAGGGTTTGTAATAAGGGGACTGTTGACATAGTGGTCAAAGCAGTGTGCTTGTGCTCTAGGAAGGTTGCCAAAACCCGGTTCGATCCCCACATCCCACACTCTGTGTCTCTGAGCAAGACACTTAACCCCACACTTCTCCCGGGGCGCCGCACAATGGCAGCCCACTGCTCCCCAAGGAGATGAGTTAAATGCAGAGATAAATTCCTACAAAGTGAGATCAATAAAGTTCAGTTATAAATGATTATAATATAAAGTTTAGTGGAAGGAAAAAGTGGACCACAGCAGCCATAGTCTTGTTCAAGGTTAAGTCTTGTTACCTTGGCTAAGAACCTGATTGTTACTCTGTGGTTTAAAAGTCTTCCTTTCAGATAAAAGAAGAATTGCATTTAATTAGAAGATAAAAGTCTGAAGGAAGACGGGAGGGGTTCCGAGTCCTGCAAGTCAGTGTGTAGTTTCCACAGCATGTGCTAACATTGGAAGTTGTCCCATCTGCAGGTGCTTGTTTTCTGTTCTTTGGTTTGGACGTCTACTGACCAAATAAAGCAGGCAAGCGGCTATACTTCATCCATGAGTCAATACAGGTCAAGGATATAGTTTTAACAGCAGGACATGTCTGTTTTGACTTGATTTTACAAAAAAAAAATAATAAAAAAAATAAAAAAAACTTTCTGTGTTTAGATGGATCCTTTATCATCCAGTTTATTTATAAGGTGAATGCATATTCCTAATTCTGCAGAAATATGAGACTAACAACTGCGGAACTTTTAAAATCTTTATTAAATAAGTTCTACAAGATTTTTTTGTTAATTGTCAATAAGAGCATTCATTATGTTCATTTGTACATGCACAATAAGACACACAGCACTGTATAATGTTTAAAAAAGGAATGGAGCACATTTAAATATAGCAGAGTGTTGAGTTTGTAAATTTCTGGCAAAGCACATATTGAAAGCAGCATGCAGGACATCAAAAAGATAATGCGTCAATTTAAATAAATCTAGGTTCTCATTTATTTTAGTTCAAGGCTTTTCACATAAGCAATGAAAAGTGTAGTTTGATCTTTTTTCCATAGCAGATAATTGGCCCTGATGAATGGGGATCAGTAAAAACATTTGAGCAACCATTAGGGTAAAGCTGCAGTTTTGATCTGTTTTGGAAATCCCTTTCTAGATATAAAACTTTTTTTTTCCCACTTACATACAATATAAAAATATATAAAATATTTCTGGTTTTCATGTACTACGCTGCAGTTGTTATTAGATTCCTACTTATTTTAATACTGGATCTCCATTAACACAATTCTACCAATATCTAATTATATACCTTGACTGTAGTTAGCCTGAAAGTAGAGATGCGCTGATTGATAAGCCAAAGAATGGAATCAGCATATTTTCCCTTAATTGGCTCTAATCAGTGATTGGCCGGTCAGGCTTTATTTTTTTACTATTAATTAAATGAATTCAACCTCAAAGAACTCCCTTATTGACATGCTTCATGGATATTTTTTTCCTCTTTCATGTGCTAATCATTCTTTCATAGCCTTACACTGTTTCTACCTTTGGTTTCATTTTCCTGAGCAGCCTTACCATGTTTTTGACACTCTATCATAGAAATTTTAATCATAAGTTAATTGCTTCCACAAGTGCTTTGCACTTGTTAAAAATCCAGCCACATACCACATACAGTTAAGCCCACATCTACTCTAACCATTGGCATATTTCACATTCTTTTCATTCAACTAAGACACTGGATATTAAATGAAGAAAGTTGGATCAGTTTTGGAAACCAATTGCAAGTTTTTTTATTTACATTCTAGAAAAATGTCCTGTCAAATTATCCATACGCTCTCTCCAATCAGTAGAGAAATATTGCTGTTGTCAATCATCTTTTTATCATTTCCACTGTCATGCCCCCTCCTCTAACTCCATCCTGTCCTTTTTATGACTTCAAGAACTGCAACGAGCTGCAACAGCAAACAGCTGCCGGTCCTGATGGCATCAGCTGCAGGCTCCTGTGGTTCTGTGCAGATCGCTTGTGTAGTGTCATTGCACTGCAAAAACGATCTAGAATTAAGTAAAAATTTCTTAAATTAAGTGTATTCACCCTAAATTTGAGTAGGTAAATGAGATAGTTTGCAATGGAATGGGTAATTTTACTCTTAAAATAAGATAATTAGTTAATATGCACTTGAAATAAGACAATGCAATTGTGTTTTCTTATTTTAAGTGTAAATTGTTTTGTTCCGTTGGCAAAATGTCTCTTTTACCTCCTCAATCCAGGAACAAATGCACTTATTTTAAGAAAAAAATGACTTACCGGTGTCTAGATTTAGATTTTTTGCAGTGTGGATACATGTTCATCATAAGCCTGAAGCAGGGGGAAGTAACACAGATGTGCAAGACCCCTGTGTAGCACCAGTGCAAAAGACCACGCATCCAAAGTATCTCAACAGCTACAGGCTGGTAGCTCTGACCTTTTAACTAATGAAAACTAGTGAGAAATTGATCCAGATTGGCTGAATCATACTGGCTCAATCCAAAACGAGCAGTCAGAACATTACCTCACAAAAGGGTTGAATGGACAATTATCCTTCCCTTTGATTAGTGTTACCCAAAAAAGGCAGATTTTAGCTTTATTTTATGCTTGTTTTTAAATAGGTCCTAAAAACGATGAGGATGAACGCTCACAAAGGAGTCCAAGTCAACTGATAGTGGTGGTTTAGGTTGAGAGACTGCACAATATCGCTTCTTATCGTATAATATTCCGTGTCTCTTTGTTTTAACTTACTGCAGAACAGACAGCATGTCCCTGATTTGACAAGAGGAACAGAGTTTTAGTTTTTTACACTTTTGAAAACATGCTTAATGTGTGTTTGTTAGAATAAAAACTGCCAGCAATCTTACAGGCAGTGGGAAGTTAACAGTTCTAGTAAAATACAAATGTTTGTGAGAATTCTTTTCAGACTGACTTAGACGAGTGTAGATTTGTCCCTTTAGTCTTTGGAGTCTAAAAGCCCGCTGTGCACCTGTGGAGCTGCAATGGGATTCAGAGAAACACAGGTCAGAGCTTATCTTTTCTCGTGTTTGAGAATGTTTCCACTCAGAGTTGACCGCTTTGTGGAACCGACGAGTCACTTTTATTTTAGATCAAACTGCTTTGCGGTTTGATTGAAAGCTGGCCAACTGTCACCTCTGTGTAGGTGGATCCTGTCAGGATGCAGGCGGTCATTTGTGGAGCGGTCACATGACACAGTGCTGCATTTTCTGTACAGTTCAAACAGGCCCCATAACTCTCTTGTTGTCCATTTGAAAATCTTGTGGAGGCACTCGTGTCCTTGTTGTGCTGTGGAGAAAAGCTAAAACGTTCTTGAGGCTGTGAACTACTCCTGTAGACCATCTTCCGCAGTTTAGACGTGTCTCCACACAAACACTCCCGGAAGTTAGGCTTGCACAGCAGATAGACCATAGGATTGTAGATGGTGGAAGACTTGGCAAACACTGCTGCCAGGGCGAAAGCAGCCGGAGGGACATTTCTTGCGTCTCCAAAAGCAGCCCACATCGCTGTGATAGCATAGGGGGTCCAGGCTCCAAGGAAACCTATGCACACTGCTATGGACAGCTGTGGAGGACACATCAACATAAGCAGACAAACATAGAAAAATGTCAAAAAATACAAAAATAATAGTTAGTGTCATGATAAAGTTCCAAAAATATTTATACCCCAGAACTTGTCCACATTTTGTCACCTCATAACCACAAACTTCAAGGTCTTTTATTAGGATTTTATCGCCTATGAAAAAGCACAATGTAGTAGCAAAAACTTTTTTTTCTGGGTTTTAGATCTTCAAGGCTCTGAAGTGATGTGGATTCTATGTGTGGATTTTATTTTGTAACAAAATGACTCCTGAAGGTAATTGGGCAAACTTGATTTTAGAGCCAAGGCTCTATCCTGGCTCTACCTTTCTTTTATCTCATCCAAAATAGCGAGGTTAGCTTGAGCTTTTTTCAACATTTATGCTGCTATAAGTTTAGGCTGATGGAGGACATAGGGGCCGCTTTTTATTAATCTGCTTCATTCTATCTCTATTCTCTAATTGTGTAGTATTTGTTAGGTGCTTTTCTTTTCTCATAGTAGCTTCCACTGGTCTGCTTCTATTTGACTATGACTCCATCTTCTGGTTAGAAATATCAGCTGTAAAGCGGGCATCAACAACAACTTTCACCCTTTGACATGGGAAGTAACTTTTCTGCCTGACTGGGTCTTTCTTGGACGGGGTCACCTGTGAAGCTGCAGTTACTTTTTGTATATCTGCTTCTTTTTGTATGTCTGCTTTTGTCTCCTTGAACAAAAACGGCCTCAGCAGATGGCTGCTCACACTGAGCTTGGTTCTGCTGGAGGTTTCTTCCTGTTAAAAGGGAGTTTTCCTCTCTACTGTAGCTGCATGCATGCTTGGTGTGAGGGATTGCTGAAGAGTCAACGACAAAATGCACGCAAATATCTTTGCTCCAAGTTCATCTAGAAGGACCATATTTTGCAAGTCAATGACTCAATGCAATCAGGTAGTTTCCCTGATAGAAACGTTTAACAAATCAGACTGTATTGTTTTTTAAAGAGCATTGATAGGACATATTTTTTATCAAGGTAAAGGGACTGGCATGTACTCCTATTCCACCACTTTATAGTTATGCAACATATAGCTCTTAGGTGTATTACGTTAAATCCCATCAGAATATATATGTTTGTAGTTTTAATGTGACAAGATGCTAAATGTCTAATTACTTTTAAAGCAACTTATCAGAAAATTCTATCCCTGCTTGCTGCAATTGAAATATTCATTATACAAAAAAAAGATTTAGCAAGTGAGGATCTATTTTTGTGTTATTTAAAAAAACTATTAATACATTCATGAATCCTGTCAGTTGTAAAAGCTGAACTTTTTGCTGCTTCTGCATCAGTGGCAGTCACATCCTCTGACCTTCACAATGAGGGCATGTGCATTGGTGGTCTTGGCCTGTGGTGACACATGCTGCTGAACGGCCTGACGTGACCCGCGCACGGTCAGCAGAATGAAGCTGTAGGAGAGGAAGATGATGGCGCAGGGCAGTGCATAGCAAAAGACAAAAAGGCAGACTATGTATGTCAACGCTAAAAACTCCTGGTTGGGTGCGTGCCAGTCAATGCAGCAGGCCGTGCCATAAGGTTCAGCGGCGTAATGCCCCCACTGTGCCAGGGGCCCCACGGCAAACACAGATGCGTAGCACCACACTCCTGCCACCAGGAGGCGGGCGTGTGAGGGGGAGAACTTGTTCCCTGTTAGAGGAGATTTAAAAGAGGAGTTACTGTTATGACGTTTTTTTATGTACATGTAGAATTAGCAGCATTTTTTGTAGTTGCATCATTATCCCCTCACCATAGGTAGGAAAGCAGACTTTAAGGCAACACACAGAGGAGAGGGCTGTGAGGTTTGTCAGACTGCAGAGACCAAACAGCACTCCACACATTGCATAAAGCTGGCAAGTAATTTCTCCAAAAAGCCATCTGCACACATGAACAACAAGACAGATATAGGCCTTCAGCTGCAAAGCAGTTCCAACCAGATGACTGATCTATACAGTTTTCAAGGCTTGTTGCTTTTTATTAAAAAGGGGAATTAAAAGCAGGAATTATAGCTTTCTGTTTCAATCATTTTCAAAATAAAATGACTATGTTTGTTTACTGAAAGAGACAAGTCAAGTGATATAGGTACCTGTGCAAAAAGGCTGACGGTATTGCCAGCGGAAATAAGGAGAGCGTCATCCCGAGGTCGCTGATGGAGAGGTTGATGATGAAGAACTCTGCTGGTTTCAAAGTTGATCTCTTGTGATGAGCCACAAGCAGTAGTAGGCAGTTGCCTATTAGGGACAGTATACCTTCGGAAAAACAAGACTGGATTGGCAAAGAGACTAAATGTCAGGAAAAAATATCGGTTCAATGAGTGTACTCACAAAACAAGCTGTAGACGGTACCCATGAGAATGTCATGCTCCTTAGAGATGCTCGAGGTAAACAAAGAGGCTGTGTCTGAAGCATTTCCCATCTAAAATATTTACACAAAATATACAAATCAGAATCTCAGGAGCAACTCTTTACATGAAGGTAGAATTTATTCACAGAACCTCTAAAGTAATATAACTGATCTACCATACAGATCTACCATCTGTACGTTTTCATTTTGGGTTCTTAATTATGCTTTATTTTATGTTATTGTGTATTTTATAGATTTATATCATTTTTGAATTCTTAGTTTTAATCTTCCTTGTTATCTCTTTGCAGCATCTTTGCTATTATTTGTTCATTGGTTTTAGAAGATAAAACTAGTTATAATTTCTCTTATCCTTAGCTTAGGTTTTCCATGGCTGCAGATCTCTCCAGTTCCTTCTCTTAACCTCTAGTTTCCCCTTGGTTATTGTTTATTTTGTAGTCATTAGCATTAATTAGCATAAAAAAACTAGTTGCAGCTGTTTTCCCTGGTTACTCTTTGTTGCCCCCTAGTGTCCATTTCCTTTCCCCTTAGCTCCTTTCTAGCGGCTTCTGTCCGCACCTGCTCCCAATTAACTGATTACTTCACTTTTGGTTCAGTCTCCCATATATACTCCTCCTCTGCACTTAATCAGTGGTGATTTATCTTCATTTCCATCTTGTAAGTTTCTCCCAAGCTTCTGTAATTTTTCGTTCCTGAGTTCCCAGCCTGTTGTGTCTGGATTCAAGTTGTTGTGCCATCTACTTCACCATTAAAACTGCAAGAACCATGCCTCCTCTACTCTGCATGTGGGTCTACACAACATCCACCAACTCTGAAACTAACATTGAAGGCTTGATTGTATCACAATAAAAATTAAGAATATCCCCATTTTTAAAAAATGACATATATCCAGTTATAAAAAGATTTCAGTACAACTTCAAGTGTATATAAACCCCACACATTTAAAATTGTCATTATTGGTGATAAATTGTGAAGCCAAATTTGAAAAAGCTGGGTGTAAACACACTTGAAGATTCAATAAAACCAGTTGTAGCAGCACAGATTGTCTTCTGTACGACCTTATCAGCCTTTTACATTTTAGACCACATTATTTACACAGCAAGGGTTTATTGGTTGCATCGACAAATCTGGGCCAGACTTCAGCTGTCAGCCAGATGGTCTCACTTTTGACTCTGGAAAACAGAGAATTTTACACTCTACCTGTCAAGCTGTTTTAAAGTCCACCAGCATTAAAACAGTTAACGTCTTCTTTCATTCAAAGGAAGTGACATTACCTCCCCTTAAATTTCCCTGTTTCTATGTAATTAAAAACCTTTCTGTTCCCTTTAAGAGTCTTAAATAGTTTGGTTTCAATGTATTTAACCGATTTGGTCAGACTTCTGCATTCAGCAGTCCTTGTTCTACTAAGTGCTCCTAGAATGAGGATTAAAAATAAAGGCAACCGAACATTCACAGTAGGGGCCCCAATTCTGCAGAGCGACCTGTCAGTAAAATACGCAGCACTTAGTCTGTAGAGGTCTTTAAAAGTTAGTTGAAGAGTTTCATTTTCTGGCTTTTAATGAGTTCTTTTTAACACTTTATTGTAATTGTTGTTTCTCACTAATATGGTCTATATCTGAGATAGCGTTCTGCTTTCAGCATTTTTATCGTAGCACTATTGTAAAACACATTTTTTTTTTAGGTAGGATCTGAAGCAGGGGTAGGCATCCATCAGTTCTTTAGTGCCACTATCCTGCAGCTTTTGCACATGTCCCTTCTTCGACACACCTAAAACAAAAGGCCAAATTACGTCCTTGGCATGTCGGTGAGTTCAGCAGAGGCCTGACCATTAACCAGTCATTTGTTTAAGGTGTGTTGGAGAAGGGATGCATGTAAAAGCTGCAGGACATTAACACTCAAGGACTGATGTCTTACTTTAGTGTAACGTATTTACAAAACAAGCCAAAATCACCAACCCTTCATCACTCCATGGGGTGTCTTCTGTCAAAACCCTCTACTTTGCCCTCGTTTCTACAGAGCTGAACAATAAATCTTGCAAACCTAAGTTGTGAGTTCATATTTAAAGAGAAGAGGTACTCTGAAAATAAAGAGCATCATGAATGAACAAAAAGGTTCCTCAGTGCAGAACTCCACAGTGACGGCACAAATGATGACATTGCAAGGTGATGTTTTGAGCACTTGGCTCTTTATCAGACGTGTCTCGGTCTGATGAGGAGCCAAGCGTTTGAAACTTCACCTTGATGTAATGAAGTGGTGTGATAAATGAGGAGGGTTGAACTCCTGCAGTGTCATGTTAACATGTTTACTGAGGTTTCATGAGGCTTTCATGAGGGAGCTTTTGGATTTCTCGGTTCCTTTGAGCATTGCATAGTCTAACCTTGAGGTATATTTCCTGGGATGTCTGAGGATATGGTTCATTTGTGATCATTTTCACTACAGAATTAGGTGCTTTAAATTGTTTGGAAACAGTTTATAAGCCTCACCAGATTGATGTTCAACTACAAATTGGTTCTCTGAGTTTTTTTGAAGATGCCCTTCAGTCTTGATTATGGGCGACAGTGGCGTTGGATGTAGGAGTTTGCCCTGAAATCGAAGGATTGATGGTTCAAAGCTCCGACTTTCAGTGTCGTTGTGTCCTTAGGCAAGACACTTCACCTGCATTGTCTACTGATGGTGGTCAGAGGGCCCGGTGGCGCCAGTGTACGGCAGCCCCGCTTCTGTCAGTGAGTCCCAGGGCAGCTGTGGCTACAATGTAGCTTGCCACTATCAGTGTGTGAATGTGTGCATGAATGAATGTAGTGTAAAGCACTTTGGTCAATAATCCTGACTTGAATAAAGGCGCTATATTAGTACATGCCATTTACCTTATAAGTACATGCCATTTTGATATTGTGTTAACAATCATTTACCGATTTAAGGCCAAAATTCTTCTGTTTTTAAACTGGTGGGACACTGATGGTGGTCTGTTGATTAAAAGCCTTTGATTTCTAGCACTTGACTTCAATTTTCTCACTTTGATGCTATAAAAGGGTCAACTTTCCCACATAGTTTTCTTTTTTTTTTCCGGCTCGTGTTAATCACACTATAGCAGTGTGAGCTTTGTTCTGTGCTTTACATGAGATTACATTTGATCATGTTTACACCTGGTAATGAACACTACCTTTTTATTTTGTCATATGTAAATTGTATTTCTGCTTAAATAAACCAGGGTACTCTGAAATTGAGTTACTAGTAGCTACAGATTTATAACCACATCAGTGTAACCTTGCTCAGCTTAACTCTGACTTCGGCCTCTCTGTGCACCACAATCTGTTCTCCTGCTGTTTTTTACTCAATATTTACAGACCAGGCAGTCAGATGTGGAGAGAAAAAAAAAAGAAAAAAGATTTGAATAATGACAAAAAAGAAATAATCCCTTGCAAAAGATGAAAACCCTTTTCGTTTTAAATCCAAATGTACTTTGCAGGATTGACAGATGGGAAGAATGATGAAACCTGTGCCTTTTAGAATTTGCAGCAGGTATATATGGGGATGAAGACAAATTTGTCACTGTTTTGATCAAGTTTCTGCTGAAAACTTTCATCATTTGAATGTAAGGAATCAGATATATTGACCATGTAAATAGGATTCAGTGATCAAAGAAAGAACCAAGGACACTTTGCCGTGATGGAGAGCTTATTGCACAAGGATTTCAGGGAGTTAGTAAATTAACTTTATATGGTGTTAGAAGAATCCTTTGTCTAATGTCTTCTCAACATCTCTTGAAGCACGTCTTAGACACTTAAGCTCCCACTTATGAGTCAGACTCCAATTTGAAGCATCTGTATCTCCTTTCAGGACTGTTTTTTAACTTGCTGATGACTGTTATTCTGAGGATCTCTTAGTTTAATGGGAGACTGATGAGGTAAAAGTAAACCTTTGAGGACAAGCACAGAGGAACAACCAGTGTGGAAAAACATACTCTGTTGTCTATCAGAAAGGAGCTAGGAAGGCATACAGGATAAAGAATCATACTAATTGTTATGCCAGTCAGTCGACTCGTCTATGACAACATGTCCAGTGAGTCTGAAAGGAGGAGACTCAGAGAGATTTATAGTTATGTCCAGTTTCTGTGCCAAGAGCTTGACTCTTCTCTGCACAGCCATGGAGAAAACAGTGATTCTCCAACTTTCACTGGTTAACACAGTGTCTGAGGAGACAGCTCAGTTTATATTTGAAGTGAGATTTTCTTGTTTAATCCTCCTAACTTTGAGAGTTGCTTGACGTGTCTTCTGTCTGAGCGTATTTAAAGACTGTCTGGTCTGTAATCCATGTGTCCTGTCCAGCTCCGTTTACCCTAACTTTAAGCTATCGTCCTGCTGCATGCAGGAATTTAACCAACCGATCCGGTGAAATCAACGTCAGTAGGAGAAACAGGGTATGCTTTTACATTGTTTAAAAATATGAAAAAAAACTTACTACACTACCAAAAGTTGTGCTCATCTTTTGGGGTTTGCGGTTAGAATAGTTTAGGTTAAAAAAAATCAGATTCTGCAATAAAACATCTCATCCGCTTATTTGCAACATTTCATAAACTATCTTTCATATACAGGATTTCTTAAAAGTCTCTGAGTTTTAGAGGGTTTTACTTATTTGAATATACTGTCAAATTTCTGGCTGGCCCATGAATGATTGGACAATTTAAAACAATAGTGTTTTTACTTTGTTAAACTGCTTAAAATGAAAAATAGTTTAATGTATATAAAAAGTATAGACTTTTATTTCAATTTATTTAATAAGAGAAAATAATTAATGTCTGCTTGATTACTCATAACAGCAAATTCTACAGGGATATAACATTTACTTAAAATTTTAAGTAAAATGCAAGTTCACTTTGCTTAATTTTTTTAATAATTCTAACTTACAACTTGGATGTAATTAAGTAAATGTTACTTAATATCTTCACAACTGTTATGTTTAATGGAAAGTAAAATTCACTTGATACTAGCAAGTTAGTGTTACTTGATATTGCAGCATTAAATCTTACTTAAATCATTTGAGTGCAAATACTTACA